CAAGCAGGTACAGTCGAACAATGATGGGGAAAATGCTATTGGAGCATTTAGAGACTAAAAATGAACCCATTGACCATGTACAGGTGATTGACACTAAATATCTAATTATTTACAATTCATTTGCTTTGTATGTCAAGGGCAAACCTAGACTTTCTCAGATATAAACTTTTGCTTTTCTTGTACGCTTTCAATCCAGTGGTACTTGTGTAATATGTCAAACTTTGATGAAGAAGTAACGAAATTATTCATACAGTTTGACCTTGATGAAGAATCACAAAAATTCCTAAAAAATTGCGACGAGAAATCAAATTATGTGTTCACACAAATGGCGCATAATGTCATGAAAGGGATCCTGGGATACTTCATGTCCCTAACCACCATTAATGGGTGAGTGAACACAGCCCCTGGGCGTCACTAGAGGTGTGTGTGTGAGGGGGGGGGGGGGAGTGGAACACCCCCACTTGCCAATTAGTCAGCAAATTATTTTCTCCTAGTCAGCGAGAATTTGGGCAAAATTTATTAAAAAAGCATCAATTGGACCAATATGAGATTACAATAACTGGACCTCTGGGCCTTTTTTAATTAATAAGAACTATCCTTTTTTTAATTAATAAGAACTATCCTTTTTTTAAATTTTTTTATCCAGTTAATATAAGTTTATTATTCGATATAAATAAAATAATCTATAAATATAATTCAACATTTTATAAGTATTAATTTCAATAAAATTTCCTTTAGAATTTTAAACAGAGGCTCAATGTTTGTGTTCTCCCAGGCTCAATTCCGTCAATTAATGAACATTGATGAGACGTGGAAAGCTGATTCACTGCTCGACTTAGGAGCAGGGGATGGTCAGGTCACTAAAATGATGGAGAGCCACTTTAACAAGATATATGTGACAGAACAATCACCTAGCATGCGGTGGAGGTTACGTCAGATGAATTACGAAGTCTTGGAAATTGATGATTGGACGATGAAAACTTATGATGTCATAAGTTGTTTGAACTTGTTAGATAGATGTGATAAGCCATTGAGCTTACTAGAAGACATTTGTAAATCTTTGAATCCTCATGGAGGGAGGTTGATAATTGCTGTGGTGTTGCCTTTCAGTCCTTGTGTCGAGTCAGGTAGTGGCAAAGCTTGTATCTTTCACAAGGGCGGATTTTCATTTGTTTTAAAGGAGGGGTAGAAAAATGTCTGGTGGGCCGGTGGGGTGCAAGCGGCACCACTGAGCGAGCTTCGACAGGGGTTAGTCGTTAAGGTTAAAGACTTTCACACAAAATAGGAGGGGTGAAGCAAAATTTTGGTGGGGTTGAACACTTTATAAGAGGGGTTAGAGAGATTCTAGGAGGGGTTTAACCCCCCCCCCAGTAAATCCACCCATGATCTTTCACATCTGTGACCCTGGTTTGATTTCTATGATATGCAGTTATCTGTAATTTGCTTCAATTCCATATGGGAAGAGTCCTTCCAGTTAGGCTCCACCTGGCCTAGATTCTTTACCCGGCTGGCTTTGGCAGGTTTGGTCAATTTTAGGCTTGCATTTGGTAAGTATGACGTCACTTGCAAAATGAAAGCAACGCATGTGAGGTCGTCATTCTTACCAAATGCTAGCCCAAAATTAACCAAACAAGGAGTGGTTCTTACTGGACCTCCAAGGGAACAACAGCAAGAAATCATTGTTAGTTTAGTTCAGGATTCCTCCTATTACAGTATATGGTAACACTTCAGAAATAAAGGATGGTCCTCCTCACTGGGCCTCCAGGGGGAACAATATAGAACAGATAGAGCTATCCAGTTTATTTTATTGAAGCACCTTTCATTTAAAATATAATATATAACGTATGTGTGTCTCCTTTCCGCTTTCAGGGTCAAGAATTATAAAACCGAGTGAAAGAATCGCGCTGAAAGGCAAGCTGTGGGAAGAACAAGTAGCAAGCTTTGTAAATGACGTTTTTATTCCTGCTGGATTTCTAGTAGAATCATTCTCAAAACTGCCTTACTTATGTGAAGGAGATATGTACAGAGATTTTTATGTTTTAAGCGATGCAGTATTTGTATTACGACCGCGGTTATAGCAACTAGTAAACTAAAGTAAAGGGATTACGACCTTTCCTCAGGATCTTTCTGAAAATCTCTTTGAAAATAAATATTAATTAAAAAAAAATATTAGATACCTAATGTAGTAATAGTAATGGTTTTTATATCAAATTATATTGTATAATATCTTATGTTCACGCCTACTTGAACTATATATAACTTTATTTATACTGGATAGTTTAGACTTGCTACAAGTCTACTCACATGTATTGTAACTTGTTTTGCATTGTAACAGTCCGTTACAGTAAAAGGAGTAAAAAGGAACGAGCGGACTAAATTATAAATAACACGAATGGGCTAAAAAATACAAGTCGACTTGTGGCAAGTCTATTGATAGCTCTATCAGTTCTGAACGGTTTTCCTTAGAGGCTGGAGAACCAGTACCCCCAGTAGATATCAAGTGTTACTGCAGGAAGCAACCGAGTACCCGGCGAAAATCCGTGGTGTTTATTGAGTGAAACTGGGAGTACTTTTCTCACAAGTGACTGAGGCGAAATTACAGTCAGACAACTACGTCGGTATTGCGGGAATCGAACCTCGGTCACAGGCTTGAAAGTATAGTCTAACCACTGTCCTACCAACACCTGGTGATATATGGTTATCTGGATTTAACATTAATTGGCACCAATTGTTTCTGGCTATCTGCAGAGCTACACTCTGCAGGTTTTAACATTTTGATTTTATACGTTTTCGACTTCTTAACGAGACTCTTATTCTCGTCTTCCAACACTTCAACCTGTTTCTTCAATTCCAAAAACTCCCCAAACGAACACTTGGATCCTTCCAACTCCTTTTTAAGCTTCGACATTTCATGTTGCACGGAAGAGAGTTCGCTTCTCAAAAAATTTCTTTCCTGTGTGATTACCTGTAGTTCGTTTAAAGCATCCTTGTGTTTCATTTTCAGGCTTTTTAGTTCGGCTGTGCTTTTTTCATGAAGATGTTTCAGCCAGCCGTTCTCAAATTCGATTCTTGAAGCAGAATTCTTCACTTGCTCGAGTTCTTTGATCTGTTTAATGTATTTTGTTATCTTCATGATCATTTTGTTCATGTCTTTCTTCAACTTCTTTTTGCTGAAAAATAGTGAAAAGATTGTCTGAGATTCGCACTTGTTCTGACGTAAGGAACACATGTGCTGAACAGGCGCCAATCCATCTCTTGTCCAAATCCGTCAATATAAATGGGCTTACCGGTATGAACTATCATCAAGTTCTTCCTGAAGTGAAATATTTTCCTCTTCGAAATCTTTACAAAGATCTTTTAAACTGTTCTCAGACTCTTGAAGTTCTTCGTTCTTTGATTTTATTTCTTCAAACGACGCGACTGTCCTGTCCAGCTCCTCAACCAAGTTCTTACGAAACCAAATAAACAAATTGTGAAAGAGTGTGTATATGTACAAAGTTACAAACTTAATCAATTAGATTAAATCCAACTAAAAAATTATATAGTTTAGTTTTTCTCTCGAATTCTTAAAAATATTAATGAAGCTTACGTTCATGTCTTTTTCCATGACATCTTGAGCTTCAAGTTTCTTTTGAAGATTTTTATTGCTAGTTTTTAATTCTTCTTCAATTTCTCTCATCTTTGCCTTCTCCTGTTCCCAGGCCTGTGCGAGTTGTTCACGTTCGTCCTTGTATTTCTTAACCTACAATGAAGTAAACAAATAAAATATCTTGGTCCGACTTTCATTAGAAACGGATGAATTTGAAAAGATAGATTGCCTATACGGCAAACGGATGAACCACAATCAAGACAACTATCTGGGTACGAAGTTCTCTACACAATCTGTTGTTTTTACTCCATTGCTGGAGTTACTTTTACTCCTTCAGTGGAGTTAAATTGACTCCCAGTGCAAGTGTACATGTTGGAAAACATATCGTATCGAAGAGGAGTAGTTTTAACTCCATTTGTGGAGTAGAATTAACTCCAAAACCTCCACTCCAAAGAGAGTAGTTTTAACTCTTCAGTTCAGACGTTAAGGTGGAGTTAAAACTCTTTGAAATTAAGTGTGCATAATTTATAATGAACTTGTTTGTATGCTTGTATCGAAGGATGATCAGTTTTTGTGTATATAGATGGCATTCGATAAACTACCAGAAAAATTTCAGTCATGATTCGTTAATTACCAAAACCAGATTGATGATCTATCGCATGGAGAATACGTCTGGGCCGATAATTCGTCTCCCGGACCAATCAGTAGCGTAACGGAGGAACAGGGGGCCCTTAGGCATATTTTGTGTCGGGGGCCCTTTTATCATACATTGTTAGTGACGAAACGCACCGTACGTGTCTCACGGCGCGACCTTCCTAGGGGGTCGGTCTTTTTCTTTTTTTCGACTCTCTTTTGTGCCCCAGATTGTACTTTCGCTTTCCAGCCATCATGGCCGACATTTTGTTTTGCATTTTTAATTTGGACGTACTTCATGTAATAACTAATAAGAATAACTTTTGTTTTATTTGAGATAAAATAAAATGTCAGTTTCCACTGTCGATGTTTATTGCCACTGTCGATGTTTATTTATTGTAATACCGTATAACCGCATTAATCTAAATCATGACCGTATAAATCTAAATTTGGTGGGGGGCCCTCGGGGCCCCCTAACAGTCGGGGGCCCTTAGTTATTCCCCTAACCCTACCCTATGTGCGTTACGCCACTGGGACCAATATACCAAATTTGTCACTTTTAAGCAAAGCAATCTCAATTTACTTTTCATTGATGCCTATATAATATAAATTAATTACCTCTCGACTGTATTTTTTCTCCATAACTTGTTGATACTCATAAAACATCGTCCTATATTCTTCTTTGACTTCGTTGATTTTTTCTTCTACATTTCTTCCCAGCGAGTGCAAGTGGTCACATTTTGATAACTCATCCTAAAACACGATAAATGTAAACGGTCGCACACTTCGTCCAGAGTCATTTGAACGTGTGAAATATGTAACAAACCAGACATTATAATACACAGGGTTCATACATGTGAGGAAGAGTCAAATTCAAGGACTTTTCAAGGACATTCAAGGCCATGTATCAGCAAATTCAAGGACTAAATACTGAAGGGGTTAGAAATCAGTAAAATCTGACGTTGAATTTTTCAAAACGCAACTTTAATGAGTTTCAAACAGCTTTGTCAGATGATGAACATGCAAAATCAATTCAACAAAATGTCCGTTTTTGAATGTCAAACAATTCCAGAAAATATCCAAAAACTAAAGCAAAAAGAATTCAAGGACTTTCAAGTACTTCTTTACAAATTCAAGGCCTTGAATTTTTGTTTTCAAATTCAAGGACATTCAAGTTTTGTACGAACCCTGCATACAGTGCGGTGCCCTGGAACATGCGCAAAACAAGTGCACCATAAGCGCGAGGACATACTACTTTTCAATAAATACCAAGACTTGTACAGGTATTATTCCAAACAAACAAACATTCTAACAAACTACATTTACATACACACTTTACTAATCTTTCCCCATAGAGGCTTTTCCCCAATTCAAAGATAAAGAGATAAATAAATAACTACACTAATTATTAGATTCTAACGTCTAACTACTTAGAAATTTATCTAATAGACTGTTTCTTAATTAAATGTCTCTTAAAATGCCCAGTGAGCTACATAACTTGAAACTATTGATTCCAAATTGTTCCAAAGTGTCGCAGATCTATAAGTATAATAAAAAATCTTTGACCAGTGGCTGTCAAAGATCTTTTTAATTTTATTATAGCTGGGCATCGCAATGATATATTCTTGATTTTACAATGACTGTCAATGTGCATAATTCTTCTTCAAATACAATAATTCAACAGGATACATTAGTATTTTAGCCTATTACTGTAATACTCCTCTATATATACCTGAAGTGAATTAACTTGTTGTTCCAAAGCTGCGTAATAATCTGCTTTCATTTTATATCCTTCGAGCGCAGATACACGGTGTCTTAATTTATCATTTTCTAGGCTTTTCTCTTGTAGACAGTTCAACGTACGTATATGCTTGCTGGCTAGACGACTATCTAAATCTTCTTTCGCACTTTCAAATTCCTTATTAAACGATTGGGAATTCATGGCGCTGAAAATTTGAACGCCGAGGACGAAGGCGAAAAAGCAGCTTGGTCGGTCCCACTAGCTCAGTGAAGTATCTATCAGAAATGAACCTTCGAGAATTCTTTCAGTAGGGAACTCGAAACTCCTGAACTTTTACATAGGAATGCTCTCGTCCAAAACTCTTTGAAAATAGCTGGCTTTATCGTTCATATTATAATTAGAGGCCACTGAATTCACTACTTTTGAATTAAACACACATTAAGTCATTATATTTTATATCCTGTACGAAGTTAGTTATATTAAGTTTTAGTTGTGCCTAGCAACAAACGTGTACAGGTAGAAAGAGACTCTTTTCCATGTATGTTTACGCTGTTTCCTGATTGTTTTGTTAGTCTAGCCAGTTGTAATACCGATCTTGTACCTGCAACGTGATAACGGAAGACAGGCCAGGTGCTTTGCTTAGGAAAACAAGTTCTCTTTCTTTTAAAACAAATTTTACAAACGACCACTATAAATTGATGTCTTGCAAAATTTGATTTTCTTTTCAAAATGTGATTTCCTCTTTGCACTTTTCATTTTGCACACACTCAATTACAGCATTCTGTTTCATTTTTGCAACTCTCGCACGAAAAAGATGCGTTTATTTGTAGTTTAACACAATATGTTTTATTACAGTCTGCAGTAACAAATACACGAATTACTTTAATACTTTTAACACAAAATTACGATGCGGCAATGTGCGTCTTCACAGCAAGCTAGACAAAAAGGGCAAGAGGATATTAAAACGATGTGCCTAAATAATATTCAGCCTAAACATTTAAAGATAAAATAAATGTTATTCCAAACAAAGTGTGATTATTCACTATTTTTATTAATCATAATATAATTATATTTTAAATCTATCTGACAAATCTTTAGCCTCTGTCACAGACCTTACAAAAACACTTATTATAAGCAAATTCTATTTATCAAGTTCACTATCTGAATCATCACTGTCGACTTGAGCATTCTTACTTGGTAAAGTTTTGACATGAACAATTCTATCTGTTCTAAGTATTTGAACAAAGAGTAGTAAGACTGAAGAAACCAACATGTAATTTCCCATTGTAGGTTCTATGATGCCTTCATTTCCCACAAAACTCAGCCCACCATTTCTGTCTAAACCATACACTTGCTTTCCAGCAGCTAATGCTTGCCTTGTTTCAGCCTTCAAGTCAAATATTGATACCCTACAGTCTGAATTTTTTGATAGTTGTCTAGGAATACTTAGCAAAGCTTTCTCTAATATTTCACAACCAATTTGGATGTTCGGATTGAGTTTATTTACTTTTCTGTATTCTTCAAATGTATACGCAAGTGCAAGTTCAAAAGCTCCGCCACCAAGAACATAAGAAAGCACATATGATTTGTCTGGACGTTGCTTAAAAGAACTTCGCAAGATTTTTAACATGTTTTGCAAAGCAATTGAGTATTGATGACACAGCGTTTCTGTTGGTGCATAAAGCAGTATCTGTTTAACAAGCATTTTAGTTGGTTGTAAATGGACATACACATGTCGTCCAACTTGGATTGGTTTACATGAAGTAGCCACGCCTATAAAAGAGGTCAAGTCTGCTTCGAGATCAAATAATAGATTTATTCCAAATATATTAGAAATTCTTGTAATATCTTCTTGAGGTATCAAATGTATTGCAGCCATGTGATACTGATTGCAAATATGAACAAATGTTTCATGAAGTGTTACTGACGTTATTATCAGCTCAACACCATGCTTAGCTAACACTTGGACAACATTTTCAATATGCTTTCTTCTCCATTCTAACACATTGTTCACATGTTGTGAGTCCTTTAATGAGAATACAGTGTTACTTTGCGGAAGATCGTAGCCAAACGAGGAACCCAAGATTACAAACTTAAAGAAATTGCTCTCTGGTGAGCGTGGAAGTTTTTTGAGCATTGTTAAGAACTCTCGAGGGATTATAATACCTAGCAATACGGCTGACGAAGTTAGCAGTTTCCCTGCAACTTCCCACACTGTATCAGAAAAGTTGTCTAGTAGTTTATCAGTTGTTTGTTTTAAATATGCAATGTCGTTTGACAGCTCATCAGCAAAGAGAAGTTGTCGTATTAGGCCGACAAGAATCTCACATGTTTTTGGGCTGAATTTTCCACTTATACTAGTTTTTATAATTGAAATACCATCATCAATTTTCCCCGGGTATTCATTAATAACTCCCACAGTTTGAAGTTTATCAAATACTTTAGGAATGATACTATAGAATAATCCATCCATACCCTGTGAAATACACAATAGTTGTTCATTCGATCTAGTTTTATCTTCAGACATGATAGTTAAAACCTCACCAAGCAGCTCTCTGATAAGCAAAATAAACTTTTTGGAAAAATCTCCAGTGTTTTTGTAAAACAAATCTAACCCTTGGAATATAAATTTACCAACCGGACTGCTCCGAGACAGAGATTTTACAACTTGAAATCCATCATTAGTTAACATCAATGTACCAGAAGTTGTTGATACTAGAGTGTCTAGTCCATTTGGACCAAAAGAATCCTTTATAACTTGGACAGTTTCGTTTGAAAACTCAAAAGTTTTATTTACAAATTCCAAATTTTCCGCCATGTTGTGATGAGAACATCATGGTACATCTGGGGACAATGACGAACATTCAGGTGTTTTTTGGTACATCTAAGGAACAATAAGGTACGTTTAGGTATATCTATGTATAAACAGGTACATTTAAATACATCGACAGAATACAGATATACATTTGGATACATCTATGTATAATGGGTTAAATTGAGGTACTTCAACATACATGTAGGTATATTTAGAGGCATATTGAAGTATACCGAGGTACATTTAGGTACGTGAGTAGGGTATTAGTTAGTTCGCATGTCATCTCAAAAATTTATGACAACAAAAACACAGAATAGGAAGTTATACCAGAAGCGTAACTCTAGTCGTTTCCCTTATTGTTTGACGTCCACGAAAATTTTTAACTCGCTCACGTCAGGCCACGACATCCTGGCTAGTACAGCCGGAAGTTTTTATCAGGATTTGGTAGGTACAAAGTGCCGGTTGTACTAGCCAGGATGGCGTGATTGATGACGAATCGCTTGTAAAAACGCGGACAAATATTTTCTCGAGTTACGCTTCTGGTATAACTTCCTATTCTGTGACTACACTGATGAGGCCCATAAGGCCGAAACGGTACCGTCTGTATATATATATATATATATATATATATATATATATATATATATATATATATATATATATATATATATATATATATATATATATATATATATATATATATATATATATATATATATATATATATATATATATATAGATTATACCTAAGGTTGGCAACTATATCTCAACTGACGAATCACGTAAATAAAACATGATAAAAAATTATACCACATTGAACTCTGATAATTTTTCTATATACCCACATATAAATTTTGTTTTCAAGACTGCAAGAAAGATGAAAAATTTGTACAAACGTTTCATGGTCTGATGAAAATTTTGATGTGCCTATGCGGGATGCCGGAGGTTATTTCATTCGTCATATTTTTAAAAAAATTATGCGATTCAATTGGTTGAAAAAATAAACAGTTTGTGACGTATTTATAGTAAAAATTTGGTTTCAGGGGGGTTGAACTACAACACGAAGACTGCTAAAATACAAGAGCGATTTTTTTTCGAAGATGAAATGGTGGATTTTAAAAACTTTTTACATCCATCCATAACTTTTATCTACAGCAAAACAACCAGGTAACTTTTGGCTACATGTACACGAAATGTCATGAAATTCTGAGCAATAATGGCGAAGAAAATGTGCTATAAAAAAGACGGCGATATGTAATGCGAGCACGCTTCGTTGTGAAGCTCAGAAAAGTTATAGGTATGAACTTATTTTATAGCGTTTTTAATACTGTAACTGGGAACAATAGGTTGGATCATTTATTTTTCCTAGTAATCAAGTGTTCAGTATTAAATACTGGATCTCTACAGTAGTTATAATTTTAAATAGCTATATAGCAAGAATATTTCGAAGTGAATTCTGTAAAACTGTTTTTATATCACTATAAAACTGTTTTTATATGAAAACAAATTTGCATTTTGGCCTGTTTTATTTATCATCAGTGTAAAGACAGTACAGTACGTATTCACAGTAATAGATACAGTCACTAGTTTTTGTTAACTAACGTGTACTTTAAAGTTTAAACTAGGGAGATGTTTAGGCATTTATTATAGAATACATATTAAACTTTCAGAACTTTGATACAAGGTTGTTTATATATAAATGCACAATTCCATGCTGGGGTATAAAATAATGCTAGCACTCTCTTACAAATTGCAGCCTATTTTGTGAACACAT